CAGCCCTGACCCCAAATCATGGGGCAGGAAAAGGGGGCAATTCCCACCTCCAGCCCTGACCCCAAATCATGGGGCAGGAAAAGGGAGCAATTCCCACCTCCAGCCCTGACCCCAAATCACTGGGCTGGAAAAGGGGGCAATTCCCACCTCCAGCTGGCACCGAGCTGTTCCCTGCTGCACTTCTGGAGATTCCTGGTGATTCTGGGCCATTCCTGATGGTTCTGGGTCACTCCCGATGCCTCCTGTGCCATTCCTGATATTCCCGTGCCACTCCCGATGCCTCCTGTGCCATTCCCGACATTTCTGTGCCATCCCTGATGCCTTTTGTGCCATTCCCGATAATTTTGTACCATTCCCTATTCCTCCTGTGCCATTCCCGATGATTTTGTGCCATTCCTGATATTCCTGTGCAGTTCCCAATGCCTTTTGTGCCATTCCCGATGTTCCTGTGCCATCTCTGATGATTTTGTGCCATTCCCTGTTCTTCCTGTGCCATTCCCGATAATTTTGTGCCACTCCCGATGTTCCTGTGCCATCCCCGATGATTTTGTGCCATTCCCTGTTCCTCCTGTGCCATTCCCGATAATTTTGTACCATTCCCGACGTTCCTGTGCCATTCCTGATTACTTCTGTGCCACTCCTGATGTTCCTGTGCCATTCCCGACGTTTCTGTGCAGTTCCCAATGCCTTTTCTGCCATTCCCGATAATTTTGTGCCATTCCCGATGTTCCTGTGCCACCCCCGATGATTTTGTGCCATTCCCTGTTCCTCCTGTGCCATTCCCGATAATTTTGTGCCATTCCTGACGTTCCTGTGCCATCCCTGATTCCTTTTGTGCCACTCCCGACGTTTCTGTGCCATTCCTGATATTCCTGTGCAGTTCCCAATGCCTTTTGTGCCATTCTTGATAATTTTGTGCCATTCCCTATTCCTCCTGTGATATTCCCGGTAATTTTGTGCCACTCCCGATGTTCCTGTGCCATCCCTGATTCCTTTTGTGCCATCCCAAAGTTTCTGTGCCATTCCTGATATTCCTGTGCCATTCCCGATGCCTTTCTTGCCACTCCCGCCGTTCCTGTGCCATTCCCGGCGTTTCCGCGCTGCGCTCAGAGCGGGAAGGCAGCGACACCTCCTGGATTCAGCAGCACCATCCCAGGCAAGGCTGCACAAATCCCCGCTTTGGGCGGGGTTTTTAAACCTCTCTGACCCTTCCTGGATATTCCTGGATATTCCTGGATATTCCTGGATATTCCTGAATATTCCTGGATATTCCAGAGCCGGGTGCAGGCAGCAGGAGCAAACCTGGCCAAGGATTTGCACAAGCCGAGGGTCACTGGCTCTGTTTCCAGAATTTTGGAGCAGCTGAGCACACGTGGATCATTCTCTGGAAGGGCCCAGCGCTGCTCTGGGGGTGATCCCAACACCCCAAACCTGCAGCTGGAGGGGATTTCTGTCTCCCCAAGCAGTGACCATCATTCCAGAAGTGCAGGTGATGCCTTAGGTTTTAATTTTTTATATTTTTATAGGTTCTGTGCTGCTTTAGTGTGTGGGGTGTGGGCTTGTATGAGGGGATGGTGAGCACAGAGCAGGGAGACAAAACAATTCNTTGGACCGCGGGGGCAGCCGGAGGGACGGGCCGGGAACCGGGGCAGCCCCTCAGGAACCGGGAGGGCCCCTCGGGAAAGGCCCCCTCAGTAACCCTACGGTGAGGTGTTCCCTGGATTCCCAAACCTCCGTTTTTTTGTGAAATCTCTCGCTGGGCCCGTGGTAGTGGCAGTGCCGTGGGGTGTCCCTATAGTGGGATGTGTCCCCAGTATCCCGGGATAAGGGCGGTGCTGCTCCCCGGTATCCCGGGATAACGGCGGCGCCGCTCTCCGCAGGGGCCAAGAATCTCTACATCATCTCCGTGAAGGGCATCAAGGGCCGCCTGAACCGGCTGCCGGCGGCCGGCGTGGGTGACATGGTGATGGCCACGGTGAAGAAGGGCAAGCCGGAGCTGAGGAAGAAGGGTGAGTGCCACCATTGCCGCCCCGAATTGTCCCCGGAGGGTCCCCGAGTCACCTCCCCCCCTTCTCTAAAGCACTCGTTGGGTCCGTGCCGTGGCTCAGGGAGTTGTCGTGGAAGGGCAGAGCAAAGGCGCCGCTTTTGGGTGAAGTGGCAGCTGCTGGTGCTGTTGATTTCAATCAGCGGTGGGACAGAGGGTTTGGGAATCCTGGAATGGGCTGGGTGGGAAGGGACCTTCAACCCCATCCATGTTCCACTGCCCCAGGTGGCTTTGGACACTTCCAGGGATCCAGGGACAGCCACAGCTGCTCTGGTAACCCGTGCCAGAGAGGAATTCCTTCCCTAAATCCCCTCCTGAGCTCAGCTGTCCATCAGTAAAAGAGAAATGGTGTCATGTGGATCCATAAAATTAAAAAAGATGGAATGATTTGGATGGGAAGGAACCTTAAATCTCATCCAGGTGCACCCCCTGCCATGGGTTTGCTCCTGCTCAGGAGGAGTTTTTGCTGAATATTGTTTGTGAATTAATAATTTACTTCCAAATAAAAGTCCAAAACTAGGAAAACCCTGGATTTTCCAAATGTAGGTGGAGCAGGTATTTCATAGTCAGTTTTAATGGGATTGTTGACTATAAAGTGTAACTTTTGAGTAAAACACCACAAATACAAGGTGCAAAACAACACCCACCCTGAATCTGGTTTGATTCCTGTGGAATGTGTGTTTTTCCTGAGGGCTGTGACACTTTTTCCTCCCAGTGCATCCAGCAGTGGTGATCAGGCAGCGGAAATCCTACAGGAGAAAAGATGGGGTGTTCCTGTACTTCGAGGACAACGCAGGAGTGATTGTAAATAACAAAGGAGAAATGAAAGGTGAGCCTGGCAGTTGGAAAAAAATGGAAAAAAAACTCAAGGTTCCCCTCAGAGAGTGGGATTTTGGCTGGGAAATGCTGCCCTGAACCACCTGTGAGCTCTAAATCACAGAATTCCAGAGTGGTTTGGTTGGAAGGGAGCTCAGAGCTCATCCCCAGGGATGTCTCCCATTATCCCAGGGTGCTCCAGCCTGGCCTTGGACGCTTCCAGGGGCAGCCACAGCTTCTGTGGGACCAGGTGAGCCTCTCTGACCATGGGCTGTTGTTGTTGTCCCTGTTTTCCAGGCTCAGCCATCACAGGCCCCGTGGCCAAGGAATGTGCAGATCTGTGGCCCAGGATCGCCTCCAACGCCGGCAGCATCGCCTGATCCCGATCCTGCCCCTGGCCAGGGATACAAAATAAAGCTCCTTGTACCAACTCCGTGGTGTTTTCATTCCAAACAGGAGCAGGGTTGTGCTGGGAGGTGATTTCATGGGAAATCCCAGCTGGAAAATGGGATTGGGGGGTTTGAGTTGTGTTTTTCAGGCAGGTTCCTGAAGAATCCCTGGAGTGGCTCAAATTTTTGTGATCCTGAGTCTGAGGGGAGCTGGGAGGGGTCTGTGCCTTTGTGCTGGAGCTCCCAGAATTGGAGACATCTGTTTGTGGTGCTCCTGGAGCAAAAGGAGGAATGGTTTGGGTGGGAGCTGGGATTTCCTGGCCCACAGGACGGGGGAACTTCACCCCTGGGCTGCCAGGTGACCCACAGGTGACCGTGGGGTGGCTTTGGGGCTCTGGTTTGGGTCCCCTGCCCTGACCCCAAATCATGGGGCAGGAAAAGGGGCAATTCCCATTTCCAGCGCTGACCCCAAATCACTGGGCTGGAAAAGGGGCAATTCCCATTTCCAGCTGGCACCGAGCTGTTCCCTGCTGCACTTCTGGAGATTCCTGGTGATTCTGGGCCATTCCTGATGGTTCTGGGTCACTCCCGATGCCTTCTGTGCCATTCCCAACGTTCCTGTGCCACCCCTGAAGCCTTTGGTGCCATCCCCGATGATTTTGTACCATTCCCTGTTCCTCCAGTGCCATTCCCGATGATTTTGTGCCATTCCCGACGTTCCTGTGCCATCCCTGATTACTTCTGTGCCACTCCTGATGTTCCTGTGCCATTCACGATGTTCCTGTGCCATCTCTGATGATTTTGTGCCATTCCCTATTCCTCCTGTGCCATTCCCAATAATTTTGTGCCATTCCTGATATTCCTGTGGAATTCCCTGTTCCTCCGGTGCCATTCCCGATAATTTTGTGCCACTCCCGACGTTCCTGTGCCATCCCTGATTACTTCTGTGCCACTCCTGATGTTCCTGTGCAGTTCCCAATGCCTTTTGTGCCATTCTTGATAATTTTGTGCCATTCCCGACGTTCCTGTGCCATCCCTGATATTCCTATGCCACTCCCGATGCCTCCTGTGCCATTCCCGACATTTCTGTGCCATCCCTGTTGCCTTTTGTGCTATTCCTGATGTTCCTGTGCCATCCCCGATGATTTTGTGCCATTCCCTGTTCCTCTTGTGCCATTCCCAATAATTTTGTACCATTCCCGACATTTCTGTGCCATCCCTGATGCCTTTTGTGCTATTCCCGATGATTTTGTGCCATTCCCGACGTTCCTGTGCCATCCCCGATGTTCCTGT